CTTTCTGTTTCACCTAATATAATAATGAAATATTATACATTCCATTATGTATCAATAATAATCAATTTAATGAGGCTGTTTACAAAATATTAAGACATTTGATAGTTAGCCTACATTTTATACAATATTACAAGTGTGCAACTTAATAAGCAAATATACTATTAGAAATTTAATATTAAGACATTTGATATCCATAATTATTGTACATTTTTATGAAATAAGTGCAACAAAAGTGATATAAAAAATATAAATCATTTTAGCTAAATTATTAATTATTATAGTCAGTATACTTGCATCTAATAATATCGGGTGTCCCATCGTATCAGTACGACTTTTAAATTAAATTAAAAATATTTACAATTATATTTTACTAACATAAACTATACCAAAATGTTGGAAATTTATTAAAATTTTATGTGGGATTCATAAAATATTCACCAAATGCCTACCCTGGTCATAATTTTAGTTTTACTGCATGCATGTCTGTTTTGCGTAATACAATATTAATACTACTGTAGAACTGTCACCGAATGCTCGCATCAATGCTTTGTATTCATAGCGCTCTAAGAAATTAACGATTTTTTTTGCATAAAAAACAGACATGCATGCAATCAAACTATGATTATGACCAGGGTATGGATTTTATGAACATTTTATGAATCCAACATAAAATTTTAATAAATTTCCAACATTTTGGTATAGTTTNCATCTGGCTTTCGCAGTGTATGTTGTGGTGGTCTATCATAATCAGGTCCTGTCCTCTCAGTTGGGATGGATTGGCACAACTGAAACATTCAATACAATTGATATACATTTATGAATACATTTTCAATAGGAATAGTAATTCTCATTAGCAATACTATAGATAAGTGTAACGAATGTATAATGAGATGAGTAGTTCATCACTACTCACATGATTCCGTGCGTGAGCTCTGGTCTTAAGTGACAATATTTGGCCCAAAGTAGATGACAATCACAAGTCCACGGATTCTCTCTTAAGTCAAGACTTGTCAGATTACCTGCAATTACATTATGTTTAGTCATATTCTCATTATTATAATGGACTCACAAAAAGGCAAAGTATTCTCTGGAAGGGATGGCAGTCTATTAGCCCTGAAATTTGCTTCTTTGATGGCAATCCAACTACTGTTAAATATACCGTAAAAGGCATAGCTAGTAAGACAAGTGAGGATTATTACTAATGGAAATCTTCTGTAGATTATATAAATAGGAGAAAGTCTTCTCTTTGATTTCAATCAATTCCTTCATATCATCCAAATATAGTTCAGTCAATGTATTCATCTTCACGAATGAGTGCTCGTCCAGCACTCGGATTGGGTTTGCGCTCAGCTTTAACACCTTCAGACTTATGGCACTTCTCAACGGAATGGTCGGCACTGACATGAGGTCGTTGTCCTACAGATCCAGATCTGTCAACTCAAAGAGCTGATCGAAAATGTGATCCATGAGTGCCAACAACGAGATGGCCGACAAGTCTAATGCCTTGAGTTGTGACGAATATCTGAAGAGATCTAATTCCAGAATTCTGAGCGGATTGTGAGCTAAACGTAATTCTTGGAGAAACGCACACTTCTTGAACAGATCCGGAGGAAGATATTCGATGTTATTATGGCTGAGATTAAGTGTCAGCAACTGTTCGGTGAAGAGGTCTGCGGGTAAGTGAATCAACTCGTTGTGGCTTAAGTCCAGTCCTCGCAATTGACTCAAGTGTTGGAAAGCATTGGGTTCTATGGCCGAGATGAGATTTGAGGCCAAATCCAAGTACTCTAACGTATCGCTCGAGTCGACCACATCGATGCGCTTCAGTTGATTCATACTTATGTCCAGAGCGTAGATATTGTCCGGCCATTCAGCCGCTGATGGAATCGAAGTCAGGTTCTTTCGCGTGCACTCCATCTCAGGCCGATTCGGGCTCAACCCATAGCACCGGCATTTGTCCGCACAGGGAGTCACGGGTTTGTCCGCTGCGATCAAAGTACTTAATGTGCAGATCGTAAGAAAGAAGCAAAAAATATTCCACTCGAAGGACATCCTGGCGTTCATCCGATGTGTACTTATGATATCTATGGCTAATGTATGAATGAAATGAACACAAAATTTAGTTTATCGTTAAAATGGATGGAAATATATTTAAACAAAACTAAAAGGGACAACACCTCTCAATTTTATGGTTTCAGTTAAATTTCAGTCTTCAATGAAATATCGGTTGTTGTGAGCCTTTCGATAAGAGCTGTGTTTTAATCTAAAAATTTTTAAGATTATATGTTTGTGAAAAGCTTTAAACACTTATAAGTGGAGCATATTTTTGTCTTTGTGTTCCGATAAGACAATAGTTTCTGAGACACAATGATAAAAAATCTCTAATAAATAAATCTTTGAGTCATTTCAATACAAAAAACAAAATAATAGGGAATTTTAGTTTTATTCACAAATTTATATAATATTTAGTTATGTTATATCGATTATTATTATGTATATCGCTAAGTATTAAATACTATGAATCGGAAAATGAAGATTTTATTACAATTCATATTGAAATTAAAACGTTTTATTTATATTTGATAAATATTTATCTCATTTGCTAACATAATTGCAAACAATATATCGAAATACTGTACAGGACTGATATATTATTTTTTGCTGAGTTTGATGAGAATATATAAAAGTGATTGCAATTAATGTACTGTTGAGACAGGTATGAAAGGGTTATCAGGGGAAGGACTCGGATCAAAGTACTGTCAAACAGTTTCTTAAAATAAGAGAAAATGTCTTCACAGTTGATATCATAATAAGCAAATTCTTATAGATAAATAAAACCAAAATTTGTTTAGTATTTTATGGCTTATTTGTGAACTTATGTTAGGGAAGTGAGTTGAAGTTATGTCATGTGTAGTGTTGTTTGAGAAGTATTAATACTTTAAAATACAAAAGTTATCGAAATCACATGAATTCCCCCTTTCTATACGGTTGTAATACTAAACACATTTGATTGAAATTAAATACACGTCTTTCACAATATGTTTATATTTTTATAATTTCAATTCTTTTTAATGACTAATTAATATTATTTTTACACATTTAGCTTATAATTTTAAAATATTTGAATATTCTTTACACAGTAATATTTTTATTTAAGACAACATTATTTAATATAAAAGTATTTTATCTAATTAATAATAATTTCGAATTATTATAAATTACCATTATATAGATAACAATTAAATGATTAGTCAAAGTAATTAATACAGTATTTGTGCGGTATGTTAATTCTAATTTTAAATCTAAACCTTACGATATACAGTACTAAAAGCAAGTAATTTCAAGCACTATGTTATGTAATACAGTATAAACACATAATAAATTATAAGAATATTTCAAAATAATAAAACTATTGCATTAATAAGTTGACGGAAACAATTGATTCACGAGTGCATTGAAATGAATTTATCACACAATTGAGATTTCTTAGAGATTATTCATTTTATACAAAGATTCATAATTGATTAAAAAATATTTCAACTATAAATATAAAGCAATACCTGTACAATACAGTAAATACTTTATAAATTGAAATTAAATCGAAAGTTTTTGAGCAGTTATCAGAAAGCTATTGAAAATTGTCAGTCGTTTCCAACAAATCCCAGTATTCATTGAATTTGTTGAGATAACTGGAGACAAGTGTTGGGTCACCAGTGATAATGCAGTCCTCGTAATTATGATTGATCCCGGTTGCAGTCCAATTGAGTGAACCGGTAATTAATTGTCTATGATCTAGGATAGCAAACTTGTGGTGCATATAGCCCAGTCTCATTCGTGTAAAATATC